TCTCTCAAATATTTCAAGAACACCCCCGCACACTATTTTTTTTTATGACACACATACAAACCCCACTCTGACATCCATACCAACACACCCACACAATTATAGCTGCATTATTTATCCAATTGGCTCTATAATATGCAAAAGCAGAAAACAGAAGTAAAGCGAGTATTTGCTTTATAGGTCAAACCTGAAAAATGGCACCATCTGGTAAAAAATAGTAAAAAATAGCAGTTTCCATGGGGACATTTTTGTCCTTAAGGTCCTGAAAGGAACAATTTTTTGTACCTAGTGCAAAACAGATTTATTAAAGGAAATGGAAGTGACTCTGCCACGCCCCCCTAAAACGGCTCGTTCTAACACGCCCCCACATATCTACCTCACTATGTGGAAATATTAGCATAATGACGCCCAAATGTGCACACAAAGAAAGAAGGGGTGGTTTCAGTAACCGCAGTTAGTGTTGAAGCAGCATGTCAGGGAGACGCTGTGTGTTTCTAGGCGAAAGCAAAAGCACTTTATTTGGCCTTCCGAAAGTAGATGCATTTAGGAATCTTTAAGATCACTTTCAACAGAACAGCAATGCATTTTATGGACGACTGTTTCGTGAACCTAGGAGAGTAGGTAATTCTGACTTTGCTATGACAAATTGTTATTAGCTTAAGTAGGTGTGTGTGCGCGCATGGAAAGGGGCGTTACATTTCCGACGAGTGCTTTCGGTGTTCGGCCAATCACAATGCACTGGGTCAGCTGGCCAATCAGAGCAGACTGCGCTTGTGGAAGGAGGGGCTTTGTAGAAAACGAAGCGTTTGAGAGAGGCGGGGCATAGAGGACCTACAATAATGTACAGTATTTGAAAAATCATGTGTTTTTTGAACATTAAAGCATGTCAACATATTCTGTTACACCAAATAATGATATTTAAAAAAAGCATCGTATGACCCCTTTAAAACTTACTCGCTTTCAGCTGCTATTGTGCTTCGGACGGAAGATGGCGCTATTACAGAGAAAAATAAATAGGCCTGATGTAACTTTATCACACGCACACACACAATGAATGGCTTTAAATGGAGTGAATTGTTATTTAGAACATTTTGCAATAAAAAACGACTGTTATCATAAATCTGAGCATAAAACATATAGCCTTTCCACAAAGTGTTAGCCATCTGATTACATGAAGCAGAGTGTTAACTGTTAACCATCCAGTTTAATCAGAATACTTCAGTCAAGGTGTCATGTGTCACAACCCACTGCGCTCCACAATAGGGAAGTGAACTGCACTTCCTATTTCCTCAGCGTTACTGCTGTCTACTGACTAAACCAGAAATCGAGAGGATGAGAAACGAAAGGAACACGTTTGACGCACGGTTTATAAATGAATGTGAGCAGTAAATGACACATATTATCCGGTTCGGATCCAGTTCTGCGTGCGTAATGGGAGCGTCGCGCGTGCGTGCGGCACTTTGATAAAACAGCGACTTCTGTAGCCTATATAAGTTTTACATGTTGCTGGCTGAAGACGATTAAAGATGAAGAAACAGTTCAACCGCATGAAACAGCTCGCCAACCAGACCGTTGGCAGGTTAGTGTGTTATATACTGATTATTTCGAATGTTTCTACTGTGGTTCGTGTAAAAATGTTCACACCAAAGTTGGGAGTGTCACTGTGTGTGCGCGAACGCAGGACTGAATTGTGATAAAACTGAAGCGATAATATATCACTTCAGTTTTATAAATGACACGTGCTATTGGGTCATGACACGTTATTTTATTAATGAGACCACTATTGTAAAGGTATGTGTTTGATATTGCGTTTTCTGTAATCTATATAACCTACCAGTCAACAGTTTTTGAACAGCAAGATTTTAATGTTTTATAAAGAAGTCTCTTCTGCTCACCAAGCATGCATTTATTTGATCCAAAGTACAGCAAGAGCGGTAATGTTGTGAAATATTTTTACTATTTAAAATAATAAATGCTTTCTATTTGAATATATTTTTAATGATTGCTGTGATCAAAGCTGAATTTTCAGCATCATTTCTCCAGTCTTCAGTGTCACATGATCTTCAGAAATCAGTCTAATATGCTGATTTGCTGC